CCCGAGAACACCTCCCTCTGGGGCAGCTCCGTCCTCAGGGTCTCACCACGGATCACGTATGCCTGGGCTATATAGGGCACATTCCACACGCCCCTGGAGGCACCCACACTGGCGTCAGCTAGGTGGGTGACCCTCCCCCAAGGCTGCCCAATTCAACCCAGGAGCCCCTTCCCTCAGGGCACCCCCACTCTCCAAGCCAGAAGGTCCACCGGCTTCCCTGTCACAACACCTCAGGCTGGCTGCACTGTCAGCCCAGCCCCACAGCTGTGGCCCTTGCGACTGGCGGGGCCTCGGGGCGGGGGCAGGGGGGTGGCGGCAGCGCGCAGGCGTCTGCGGGCCCGGGCTGGAGGAGAGGGGCTGCGGCCCCCTGCAGGACTCACACTCGCTTCCGCTGCACCAGCTCCACGTAGTCCTCCGAGCGGGCATAGTACTCGTCGGGGCTCAGGGCTCCCCAGAAGTTGGACCACAGCTTCCCGAGGCGGGACAGCATGGGCGCTATCACCTTCCTGTGGGCAGGCGGAGGTGAGGGCCGGGCAGAGGTGAGCCCTGGGCCCCGGGAAGGAGGTGGGGACTCCCCCGAGACTATCTGGGGACCCTCTGGCTGAGCCGGGCAAGCGACCTGTTCTCTTCGATGAGGATGCGCAGGGTCTGCTGGTTGGTGATGACAGCGTCAGCATCCAGGCTGAAGTAGAAGTCGCACTCCGGGTCCCGCCGGCAAGTGTCCCTGGAGGTGACAGATCAATGAACAGAGGAGCTAAAAAAACAGGAGCAGGCGGGGGGAGGAAGGGACTGTGTGGCAGGTAGGATAATACCCTCTCCCCGCCCCCCCGCAGAGGAGGGCAAGAAGAAAGCGGGTAGAAGCACCAGGGGGAGAGGAGGAAGACGCCGGGGGTGGCGGGTGGTGTGCTTGCTTCCCCGGGGCCCTGAGGTTCTCCTGGCTGGGGGGTGTCCCCGTGGAGGCTGACCCAGGCTGCACGGCACATGGAGAGGGAAGGGGGTGGGTGCAGTGGCTGGCAGCACCCCTCGGCCCTCACCCGTCCTCCCCGCCCAGTGCTCACTCACATGGCCATGTCCCTGGCCTCGCCTGGCGTCAGGGCCTCCTCTGGCCCCACCAGCTTCACGCCTGAGAAGTGGTCCTGGAGCTGCGGCCAGGAGTCTGCAATGTGGGGCTCATGGTACACCTCCTGGAGACGGGGGCGGGGGAGAGGGAGGGGGGTGGAGAGGGCAGAAAATATGGTGCCCGAGGCACAGGAGGGGGAAGGTGGTGAGCAGAAAGGGTGTAGGAAGGAGTCTGGGTGGGTGGCAGTTCCAATCGGGGCAGGGGCAGAGTGCCTCGGGAGGGTGCACAAGGGAGAGGCTGCTGGGGTGTCTCACACTGTTATGCAGGAAGAGGGTGACCCTGTCGGGGGGGTAGTCCAGGAGGAACAGCCGCTGCAGGAAGCGGGGCAGGAACGGGGTAGGTTGTTGTACAAACACAGCCAGAAGCACCCGGGGGGGAGGCTGGAAGATACGACACGATGGGGCTCAGAGGACAGCCCAGGCCCTCAAACTGGTGTGTCCTCTGCCACCCTGCCAGGTTGGGAGTCCCCAGGAGCTCTGGCCCGTGTGCTGCTGCCCAGCATGCTCTCCCTGCACCCTCTGCCTCAGTGCCTGGTCCTGCCCACGCCACCCCCCCGCCCCGCCACCCCTCCAGCACCCCTCCTCACCTGCCCCCCCGGGAGTGTCCTCCGGTCCCGGCCGCAGAACCCACAGCCTCCCTGGGGAGTCCAGCCGTTAGGGACATAGTTTCCCAGGTAATTCAGCTGGAGCTGTTGGGAGAGGCAGTGAGAGGAGGAAGCAAAGGAGTCCAGCAGCAGAGGTGAGGAGGGTCAGGTGGACAGGCAGGGGACAGGGCAGGGAGGGGAGAGATGGACACTTAGAACGTCTCCCGGCACCTCTGCAGCTGGGGCTGGGGAGGACTGGCTGCTTGGAAGGGCTGGAGGTACGCAGGGGCGGGGGCCAAGTCTGACTGGGGCAGGGGTGGGGGGGCTGAGGGTATAAACCATGGGAGCACCTTCGTGGGACCATTCCCATGGACCACGACGGGAAGCGTGTCATAGGCCACATTCCGGATGCGCACACGATTCCGATCGAACTTTAAAACCACCTCATCTGGGGAAGAAAAGCCCAGCTTTAGACTCTTTTCCTCTCAAAGCTGCCAAGCAACAGATGCTTCTAAATATGGAGGGGGGCGGGGAACCCATGCTTCTCTAGAGGATGAAGGACTGTGGCTCCAGGGGGCGGGGAGCGGCCACCGTCTCTCTCCTGAGGGTACTGACCGGACTCCGGCCACCCTGGGGAGCTCCACCCTACTACCCGGGTGACCTGGCCAAGTCCCCAGTCCCTCAGGGAGGCATCTTCCTCCCCCGCAACAGGTGATAACCGTAGGCCCTCCCTTTGTAGGATTGTTGTGTTAAATAAAATCACAGAAGTAGAGCCCTTTCTCCTCACCTAAAGCCCCATTGAGGTTCTGAAAGATCCGGGATTTATGATCCAGACTGAGGCTGAGTTTCTCCTGGATGGGATGAGATGGGGTGGGCCATCATTTCCCACTCTTTCTACAGCCTCCCTAAAGCCCTATCCCCCTCATCTGCCCTTCAGCCCGCGCGGGCTGCAAGTGACCCCTCCGCCGCGGCTCCCTACCCTAAGCCCCGGGTCCAGGTAGAGTCGCGTATAGAACAGCTGGTCATCATCGTCATCCTTGTACTTCCACTGGCGGACGACTTGGTGGACGGTGGGGGCAAAGCCAATGAATCCTGTGGGGGGGTGGGTGGGTGCTGACTCCAAGACTCTCGGGGTCGCAGGGACCCGTCCCCACTCCCTCTCTAGCCCTCGGGCCCCTGGAATGCTCCAAGCCCCATCGCTCCTGCCCCTCCCCCACCCCCCGCCTTGGGCACTCTGCCACTCACCACCAGAGTTGAGGAAGCGCTTCCCCGTGCCCACCTCAGGGTACTGCTCTGCCAGCCCCCACTCGGGCCAGCAGAAGCCCTCCGCAGAGAAGAGCAGGCGGCTGCCACTCTGGACGAACTTCTTCAGCAGCTCCGAGGGGCTGCCAGCCAGAATCACGTCGTAGCTGGGTGAGAAAGAGGGGGCGTGAACGGGACGCGCCACGAGGAACCTCGGGCTCCTCACCCCCTCCCCCTGCTCCGCATCCGCAACCCCTTTACCTGTCCACAAACATGATGACCATATCCTCCCGGTCTGCGTATTTCCCCATCTCCTTCTTCAGCCACCTGACCTTCTGTCCTCCACCAACCGTTCGGGCCACATCACCCCCTCGCCACTCCTCTCCCAGGCCCAGGGTCTGTCGGGGAGACCCGCCATCAGTCGGCGGGATGGGCCCTCCTGACCAGGCTCACCGTGGGGCCCCAGGCATCCAGCCCTCAGCCCACTCCTCCCGCCCCTCCTCTCCTCCCGCCCCTCCTCTCCTCACCCGCACTGTGTAGTTGAAGAACTCCGCGGACCGCAGGAAACGCCGGTATCCTTCCGTCTCGGCTGTGGCCACCGTGATCACCAGCAGCTTTTCTGTCACCAGCCGGGAATTGGTGCTCGGGACCCACTCAACCCAGCTCACCGCCCCCCGCGCTCCGCTCACCGCAGACCCCCTTGCCCTCCCTCCGACTCTGCTCCTGTCCTCTTTTTTTTTTTCCGATTCTCTCTTAAACTCTTCCCAACCAGGGGAACTTTGGTCCCAGTGTGGAGAGCTGGATGGGAGTAACACCAAGGAATTCGGGGTCAGTTCACATGGGAGGTTGGAAATCCCAGCCCAGGGTGGGGAGGGGCCGCGTGATTCGCCCTGTGGAGGGCGCACGGCCACCCCCTCCAGGCCGCGACCCCTTCCCCGGCCCCGCGGGCAGGCACGCAAACCCCGCACCCAGTCGGCGCTCCCGGGGCTCTCACCTGGGTTGACCGGGTCGCTGCCCCGGGGACGGTCGGAGGCCGAGGTCGCAGGCGGCGGCGGCAGCAGCAGCAGCAGCAGGAGCCCCAGCAGGAGCCGGAGTCCCGGGCCGGAGGAGGCCATGGCGGGGAGCGGGCGGAGACTGCACACAGGCCCGCAGGGCTCTGGGGCTTGTGCGCCTGGATCCCAACTCCGGGGAGGGGCCCTGGGAAGAGGGACCGGGGCTGCCCTGCGGCCAGCCGCGAGGAGGAGCAGGGATAGGGCGCCGCCCTGGAAAAAAGGCGTAGCCCGAGGCTACTGAAAACTCGAGAAGCGAGCGCCGCAGACAAGGCGAGGATTGTCCCCGGGCGTCAGCGCGCGGGCTGCGCGGAGCCAGCGGAGGGGGCGCCCGGCCGGGAAGCGGGGGAGGGGCGGGGGCTCGGGCCAGCGATCCGGAGCCGAGGACTTTGGTGAGGGCCAGCCCGGCGCAGCGCCTCCTGACACATGAGGAAACTGAAACCCGGAGAGGGGAAGTGACCCCCTGCAGGTCGGGCGGGATGCGGAGGCGGGTCTTTGCCACAGCCCTGCCGGGAGCTGCGAGACGGAAGGCTGGGAGAGCGCGGCGGTGGGGGCGCGCGGAGCGGGGACGAGTGGAGGAGCGGGCGGCAAGGAGAGAGAAGGTCGAGGAGTCTGCGGCCCCAGGGGCGCTGGGGGTTGAGGTTTCGGCAGAGGGTCTCCGGGGGCCTCTCGGATTGCCCACTCAAGCCTGCCCACTTTGGTAGTCCAGCCCATCATCTCTACGTCCCCCGGGAGAAACTCCAGGGGTTGCCTTTGTGATGATGGCATCTTCAGAAGCACTAAAGGAAAATGACATTTCTCAAAAGACCACTGGCACCACCTCTTTAAAGTGATCCATTTCGGGGGTCCCACAAAATACACAACTACCCTCAGGCCGGAAGTGGTTCTGCCCCTATAAAACATGGCGGAAAGCTTTCTCGTCTCCTGGGCAACACCACGTAAAATGCGGACGCATAGGAATTCCATTGGGATTGCTCTGCGCGCGCGCTGCCGGAAGTGATGTCACCCCCTTCCGCAGCGGGTGGCTTAGCGCGCGTGCGCAGTAGGCTCTTCCGTCAGCTGTGTTGTGGAAATGGTGGAGAAGAAAACTTCGGGTATGTGAGCCCCCGGAGGTTGGCCCCCTACCTCCTCCCAGACCCGACCCTGGCCTAGGGGGTTCTCACCCAGTTATTAGTCTTAAATCCCTTCCCCCGCCCTCGGGTCCTGGCGTCGGGGTAGCCCCTCAGACCATCCATTCATTTTGTATTGATGCCCGCTCCATGCCTGCGCCGGGGATGGAGAGAGGATAAAGGTCCCCATCATCCAGAAGCTGGCTCTGGGAGGGGGACAGACACGCAGACCTGCCGTTGCATTTCAGAGTGATACGTGCGACGGCAGAGGGGTGCATAGCTCCTGGGCGCGGGGAGGAGTGGCACCTAACTTGGCTTCTGGGACCGAGGGGACAGGAAAGGCTTGGAGGGGGAAAAAATGCTTTGATTGGGTCTTGAAAGTCGAGTCACGGTTTCGCTCAGTGCAGGTGCGCCGAGGCTCATTCCCGGCAGCGTGAACCGCGCGTGCAAAGGCAGGAAAGCGAGAAAAAGCAAGTCGCTTAGGAAGCCACGTTCACAGTTCGGGGCTTGTGGAGGAACAGTAAGAGAGTCTGGAGGGCTGGGGAGGGGTGCACTTGAAAAGCATTCTGTCCACCGCTGGAGAGTTTCAGTTCTGTGGAGAACCACCAACGGCTCTTTTAAGGCAGGGGCACAACCGAGACAGATACATCTTTTAGAAAGGCAGTTCTGGCTTCAGTACGGAGCAGCACTGTACGGTGGAACTTTCTAGAATGGTAGGAACGGTCTTAATCAGCACTGTTTAGCATGGCAGGCTTTAGCCACATGTGGCTTTTGAGCACGTGAAATGTGGCTAGTGCCACCGACGAACTGAATTTTACATTTTATTTAATCTTACTTAATCTACATCGAATTTGAATGAACACGTTCGAGCAGTGGCAACCTTATTGTACAGCACAGGTGTAGAGGCTGGAAGGCCAATTAGGGAAGGTTGGAGTAGTTTAGTCCCGGTAAAAAGAGATGTGGGTGGAACACTCGGCCAGATTGACTTTAATCAATCCAATCATGTCAGTCCTTTCTTAAAACGACTCTTTGCTGGATCTCCGTTTTTCTCACTGTAAATCCCCAAATCCAAATTCCTTTAGGTACTTAAAAGTAAGACTTTTAATGGTCTGCCTGACTTTATATCCACAGTCTTCCCCCCCCCAGCATACTTTATATAGCAGCCCTACTGAGCTTTTTATAATTTATTGAAGGCACCATGGTCTCCCATCCAAGCTTTCTGTCATGCTGGTACAAAGGCCTGACACACCCTTCCCTCTCCCCCAACCAAGCTAACTTCTATTCCTCAGTCAGATCTCAACCTAGACTTTCTTTCCTCTGGAAAATCTTCTGACTACACCAAGGCCAAGTTAGGTGTTTCTGGCATGTGCTCTATAGCACTTTGTACTCCCTTGTGCGAGCATATACTATGCGGTACTCTGCATGGTTATTTGGTCATTTGTATTCCCCGCCTGACTGTAAGCTCGTGTATTCCCAGGGCCTAGCGCACCGCCGGGCACTTGGAGGGGAGGCAGTATGCAGGGATCCAGAGCTGGGCAGTTCTGGATCAGAATTCCAACCAACCACTTACTAGCTGTGTGAGCTTTGGACATGCTTCTTAACCTTTGAACTTCAGTAAGCTGGGGATGATAATGATACTTCTCTCATAAGGTTGATAAAGGGTTAAAGCTCTTACACAAAGAGCTTAGTGTAGATGCTATTATTACGATTACAGGCACTCAGTAAATATTTGTTGACTGAATAAAGAGATATTTTGTGTAGAACTATCAGACCCTGATAAAGAGAGATAAAGAGGGAGGTTTAAAATAACTCCTGGGTTTTTTGCTTAGGATGTCTGTGTAGATGGTTCCATTTACTTAAAGAGTGTATGGAAGAGAAGCAGACTTGGATGGGAAGATTTTAAATTTTGAGCTACAGCGTCAGTGGGGCCATCTCTGGCTACTCTTCTAAGCCTCTCATGTGGCCTACTCTCCCCCTGCTAAGAAGAGGGCTGTCCCCATCTCTTTCTCAATCTTTTTACTCTTCCTGGGATTTCAACCCCAAACTTGGGGCTCTAACTCTCACCCAATAGTGAATGACACCAAAAGTGGTGCTGTCAATTCTGAACTTTCTCCTGAGCCCCACAACTGTTGGCTGTTCAGTCAGCTGCAGGAAATCACCTGCTGACTTCACCGTTTTAAACCTCTCTCTTATTACCATTCCAGTTCACTGGGTCTGTTAATTCTGCACAAAATATCTCTTTATTAAAATGCATATTCAGGGGCGCCTGGGTAGCTCAGTTGTTAAGTGTCTGCCTTCAGCTCAGGTCATGATCCCAGGGTTCTGGGATCAAGCCCTGCATCCGGCTCCCTGCTCCACGGGAAGCCTGCTTCTCCCTCTCCCACTGCCCCTGCTTGTGTTCCCTCTCTCGTTGTGTCTCTCTCTGTCAAATAAATAAATATAATCTTTAAAAAAAACGCGTATTCATTGAGTGTCTATAACCATAAGGAAAACCTGAAGTCATGTCAAGGAAGCAAATGAGGGCATTCTTTCCACCCAAGGGAAATAATCGGTACAGTCTCAAGGTGTCTTAAAAGGAGGATTGTAGAAATACACACTGGATTTGGCCCGATGAGGTCACCGGGGTCCTGAATGTGAATTGTTTCCACTGAATTGGAGTCAGTTTGCTGGGAGTTGAGGAGTGGATGGGAGATGAAGAAATGAAACATCCCATGGATCATTCTCTCAGAGATGAGTCACTGTGATGTTGGGTTGACATGTGAGAGTTTGGCAGGTTTTTCCAGTGAGAGTAAAATACCTGTGGGGGAAGAGGGGTTGAAGATGCAGGAGGGAGGGAAGGACTCGAGTTGGAGGTGAAGGGTCGGGTTTAGCAGTGGGACTTGGTGTGTGGGGGGTGCATCCACTTGGAACAGAGGGAAGGTGGGTGCCCATACATTTATATGTGAGGGTGGGCTGAAAGATGAGCTTCTCTACATGTGGCCCGTGTCCTTTGTGGCAGGAAATGGGGTTGCTGAGGATGAAGGCGGGATGCATTAAAGTCCCAGTGGAGGCGGGGGGCCCAGAGTGTATCGTGGCCCCCGTCTGCATGGTTGTGTGATTTCTGCCAGCAGTGAAAGGGCTCCAGGAGGCGTTTCGTTGGTTGGGTCTGGGGATTGGGAGGAAAGGCTGAGGCCACCCTAGCTTCTCTCCTGTGCCCCCATGATTCTGGCTCTGCCCCATCCAGTTCGCTCCCAGGACCCTGGACAGCGGCGGGTGCTAGACCGGGCGGCCCGACAGCGCCGCATCAACAGGCAGCTCGAGGCCTTGGAGAACGACAACTTCCAGGACGACCCCCATGCAGGACTCCCCCAGCTCGGCAAAAGGCTGCCTCAGTTTGATGATGATGCAGACACCGGTGAGGCGGTGAGGCGGGTGGAGGAGGAGGAAGGGTGGGAGGAAGTGGGAGGGTCTGCCTGGCTCGGGATTGTAGGACATCGGGCTGGCGGGTGGGTAGGTGACAGGGGAGCTCCTCTGCTCTGCCTGGGACTGGCTCCTGCGGCGGTGAGCCAGCCGCTCTCCCCTCGCTGCCTCTGCTTCCTCTAGCAGATGGAGAATACAGAACATGGAGGAGCTGAGCTCCCAGAGCCCTTCCAGCTCTGACACAAAGCCTTAGGGGAGCATGAGATGTGTGTAGGTGCTGGTTGGAGAAGCGAGGGGAGGGACACACATGGGAAGGAGAGGCCGACTCGGAACCCAGGGGAGCATGTGGGCAGGAAGCGGATTCATGGGTGTCGGGAATGAGGGTGCAGAAAAAGAGGGGGTTTTTCTTGGCACGTGCCAAGTAACTGCAGTTGACCTTTGAACAGCACGCGTTTGAACTCTGCAGGTCCGCTTGTACGTGGGTTTTTTTATAGTCCTGTCCTGTAAATGTCTTTTCTTTCCCTTATGATTTTCTTTTTCTTTTTCTTTTTTTTAAAGATTTTATTTGACAGAGAGAGAGGGAACACAAGCAGGGGGAGTGGGAGAGGGAGAAGCAGGCTCCCCGCGAGCAGGGAGCCTGATGCGGGGCTCGATCCCAGGACCCTGGGACCATGACCTGAGCCGAAGGCAGACGCCTAACTACTGAGCCACCCAAGCGCCCCTAATCTTAGGATTTTCTTAATATTTTGTTTTCTCTAGCTTTGTTGTAAGAATACAGTGTATAATACATATAACATATACAATTTGTGTTAACCGCCTGTTTATTGTTATCAGTAAGGCTTCTGGTCAACAGTAGGCTATTTGGAGTTGTTTTGGGGGAGCTGAAAATTACAGATTTCTAACTGTGTGGAGGAGGTTGGCACCCCTAACCCCCTCGTCGTTCAAGGGGTAAACTATAATTGCCCTTCCTCCGTAGGAAAGAAAAAGAAGAAAACTCGAGGCGATCATTTTAAACTTCGCTTCCGAAAGAACTTTCAGGCCTTGCTGGAGGAGCAGGTGAGTGGGGGAGGGGCTGGCCCAGGGGCTGGGAGGGCCCTGCAGGGAAGAAATGAGCCCATAGAGGTCCTGGTCCTGGGTGGGTGTTTGCTACATGGGTGGGCAAGGAGTTGTGGACCCTTCCCCTTGTCTCGGCAGAACCTGAGTGTGGCCGAGGGCCCCAACTACCTGACAGCCTGTGCAGGACCCCCGTCTCGGCCCCAGCGCCCCTTCTGTGCCGTCTGCGGCTTCCCCTCCCCCTATACGTGTGTCAGCTGCGGTGCCCGATACTGCACCGTGCGCTGTCTGGGGACCCACCAGGAGACCAGGTGAGCTCAGAACACCCCCTCCTCTCCCCTCCCCCCAAGGCCCCAGACCCTCTCCTCATCCTGGGCTTCCTCTGCTTGCAGGTGCTTGAAGTGGACTGTGTGAGCCTGGGCATCCCCGGAGGAGAGGGCCTTCCGCGCATCACCCCAGCCTCGGAGAGGGCTTGGCCAAAGGGAGAGGTGCTCTTCTGGACCTAGAGAGGAGCCGTTCGCTAGTTCAGCAGAGCTGTGTCCAACCTGCCAGGGAAGAGCAGTCTTACTCCCAGGGACTGTGTGCAGGGAAGTGGGCTGGGCCCTCCGCGTGCTGTTGTAATAAAAGGTTTCATACCAGGAGGAACCTGTTTGGTCACAGGTCTGCTGTCCTACTCACTGCTCTGTGGCTTTTCCTTCTATCTGTCAGTCACCCCTCCCACGGTCTGCCTGTCTGACCGTGGAAGATTTTATCCCATTCTCCTGCAACGCCCGTCTCTGCATTTGTTGGCTGCCGCTTGTTGTCATTTTTTGGTGATTTATTGAGTGCGTTTGCTTTTGCTTTTTGTTTCTCTAGTTCTTCTGAGTATCACTTGAGTGCTGCCAGGACTGGGTGACAGGCAAGTAGAGTGAGCTTTGGGGACGGGGGCAGAATGATACTGTGGAAGGAGCCAGCCCTGGCTTCGTCCTCTGGTTTTTTTTTTTTTTTTTTTTTTAAGATTTATTTATTTGAGAGAGCGAGAATGAGAGAGAGAGAGTACATGAGATGGGGGAGGGTCAGAGGGAGAAGCAGACTCCCCGCTGAGCAGGGAGCCCAACGCAGGACTCGATCCCGGGACTCCGGGATCATGACCTGAGCCGAAGGCGGTCGCTTAACCAACTGAGCCACCCAGGCGCCCCGTCCTCTGGTCTTTAACCCAATGGAGAGAGCGACCCTTGTCCTTGGTGCCGCCGGTCTGAGGAGCAGTTGTCCCAAGGAGGCTGTCGTTACCAGGGACTGCAGCGTGTGAAATTATTAGTATCAGAGAAAACCCAGAAATTTCTGGGAAGCATGGGGGAATTGATGATATAGAGGCCGCTGTTCTTGGTGGCCCTGGATGTTGTAATTCTTTTTTTAGATTTTATTTATTTATTTATTTATTTATTTGAGAGAGAGAATGAGCATGGGAAGGGGCCGAGGGGGAAGCAGACTCCCTGCTGAGCTTAGAGCCCGACATAGGGCTCGATCTCAGGACCCTGAGATCATGACTTAGTGGAAGTCGGACACTTAACCAACTGAACCACCCAGGGGGCTCCGGATGCTGTAATTCTTAGGTGGTATTAAAGTTTCTTACACCCATGCCTCCTCTAAGTGGACTGCATGCTATGAGCTCATAAAGCTCCTCGGAGTTGCTGTCCTAAGGCCCTGTACCCCGCTCGAACATAGCAAAGCAGATGCTTAGGACGTATTTGTTGTACTTGTTGAACAAATGACCTCAATAAGATATTAAAATGGGATCCAGCAAATTCCATGTTAGGCACCTTCATAGGCTCTTCTCTCCCCTTTTGGGGCTTTACAACAGCTGGCCCAAACGTTCCCAGTGTCTTCCTTGCCCTTTCTCTGGAGACTTGAGGTTGGGTCAGTGGTGTTGGGGACAGCTCCAAGTCTGATGGTGAGGACACGGTTTGGGGACAGTCCTAAATTGGTGGTTTTAAAAGAAAGCTGTACGTTTTCTGACTGTCCTTTCATCAAAAGGTAGGGTCTTTGTCCCCTTCTCCCGGGATTGGGGCAGAATTATGACTGCTTCAACCAGTACAGGGTGGCAGAATTGAGACGATGTGACATTCAAGGATGGGTAGTAAAAGGCAGGGAAGCTTCTGCCTTGTCAACTAGGAAAATTGTTCTTCTGGATCCCTCCATCACCATATGAGAAATCCAGCCATCCTGAAGCTGCTGTGCTACAAGGCACCCGGACTGCATGGGGAAGCCACACGCAGGTGCCCCCGCTGCCAGATCCAGCCAAGTCAAGCCTTCACGCCACCCCAGCCCAGGCTTCCCTCATGGGAGTGAAGACCCCTCCAGATGATTCCGGCCGCCAGGCATCAAATCACCCTCAGCTCAGCTGTTTGAGGCTTCCTGGCCATGTCCTCAACATCACAGAGCAGACACAAGGCATCTCTGCTACACCCCAGATGCCTGACCTACAGCATCCATGTGTATAATCAAATGGTTTATGCCACTGAGTCTCGGGATGGTTGTTACGCAGCAGTAGTAACTGGGACACCAGGAGTCCAGTTTGCTGGCTTCTGACTTTTGGCCTAAATTTATTATCTCTCCCATGAAGGGAAACTTTTCCAGGTCCTAAACTTTCAGTTTTCCTCTCCATCAAGAAGTACATGCAAGCAAGAAAACAAACAAACAGAAAAAAAAAAAAAAAAGGAAGGAAAGAAGGGAGGGGAATAAAAGACTATGCCTTGGCTGAGAAACGCCATCAGCACTTCGCTGTGATCACCTGCATTGGACTTCCTGTCAGATTTGCACTGAGCACGATCTCTTTGGTTTATTTCCTAAATGCGCTGGCTTTGTTTCATATTTTGCTGTTATAAAAAGAATCACGTAGATTCTGCCTGGTGTAAGATTTGCCTACTCGGTGACACACTCAGGCTTGCCAGCTGACCTTGATAGGACAGAGCCAGACCCACGGGCTCCTCGTTGCTCTGACACCAGGGGGCTCCAGGAGTCCTCCGTTGACATTCTCTAGGAAGGGTCTCTGGACCCCCACTTAAAACAAGGAAAGCCTTGAACAGTTTTCGCCAGCTTCCTAGGTGCTGGGGAGATTGGTCTCTACCTTGGGAGACACCTGGGTCTCTGGGAAATCAACAGGGTGCCAAAAACGTGTAGAGGGTGGCCCCAGTGTCCAGTGAGGGAGCAGCACAGCATCCTGGGCGCAGGGGGGGCAGAAGAGGTTGATTCTAGAGCCTGGGGGCTCACTCCTACAGCCCTCAATGAGAGTTGAATTTAGTTGACTGAATTAGTTTGGAAAGGCCAGAATTCTGCGAAGCAGTCCAGGTGTGTCTTCAGTCTTGGGCAAATCCTGGTCCTACTGGTCCTACTGTTTCCTAACTGCATAGCTCGGACAGGTCACTTACAGGTCACTCTTTCTTACAGCCACCGCCCTGATAGTGGGAGGATTAAACGGGACGGTGCACCCAGCCCAGTGCCTGGCATTTGGAAAGTTCTCAGTCAGTGGTAGCCGTTGACATGATTGCCTAAGACCTCCAGCACTTTGTTGTCGAGCCTTGTGACAGCCTGTTCCTCCAAAGACTGGACATTCCTCGCAGTAGCCCTAGCACCTAACACGGCAACCTGCTGTTTACATTTCTCTCGGCTCCTAGCTTGTGAGTTCTTTGAGGGCAGGAGCCGTGTCTTGGTGCCACACTAGCTTATAGCAAAGAAGGAAATAAGTATTGTTTAAAAGGGTAAGTGTGTTGATAGCTCCTAATAGCCAAATGACTGTGCAGGAGGGACGGAAGATGTCAAAACTTAACCTAGTGCCCGTGTTAAGGCGAGCACTTAGATGCTCAAGTGTGGAGGCTGGCTCGTGTTAGCTTTCCTGAGAGCGGGGAAGGGGTGAGAAGAGGCAGGCTGGGCTCTGGGAAAGGAGGTAGAAGCTGTGGGGCGGGGGGCAGAGTGGAAGTTGGGGTCAGAAGTGCCCGGGGTGGTGTCAGGAGATGTAATTGGCTTTTGTAGTTGATGTAGTTGCCTCTTCTTCACAGCGGTGGTGGGGGTGGGGGGGGCATGCAGGATACAGGCATCCCTGAGGAACTCTGATGGCCTCTCAGAGTTGTAAGACCCTTCTTAAGGGGTGGGTCTCATTTTTGAGAGAGAAACCCACTATGGGTTTGCTAACAAAGCAAACGCCATGGGCCAACCCTTGGCACGGTAGATGGGTAGACCGTGACACCAGCACCCATGCTCTCGTGCAGTCCCTCCCACGTTGACTCTCCACTTGGCCACGTAACTGGCTGGGCCAGCAGGACATCCATAAACCTTATGGGAGCAGAGAGTGAGGGGGAAAAGGATATACAGACTTCAGCAAACTTCTTGAGCAGGAACCCCCTTAACAGCTTCTGGGGAGACCCGCGGGACGTCCCAGTTTGCTAGGAGAGCACAGTTGTACGGAGGAAGAGGAGGGACCAGGCACAGAACGGTGGGCTAGGGCAGTGTATCGAGGCCTTAGTGGTCCTGGGCTTTTCTCCTGAGGCACTAGGGACCTGCTAAGGCAGCACAACGCTTGACGCTCCACGAGAGGAATGTGGACAGGATTAGGAAGATGGATGAGAAGCTCGATTGGGGGAACCCTATCCTGAGCAGGAGAGAATGAGGGCCTGACCTGGCGAAGGCAGTGAAAGGAGTGAAGTAAGTGGATGTGAAGAACACTGAGGAGGGGGAATCCTCAGGATCTGGGGCAGGCGGCGGAGGGGAAGTGAAGGGAGAGCCTGAGATGATTGACACTGTGGAGCTGTGTGACTCAGGGGTCGACTGTGCTGGTCACAGGAATGACAGGAACCGGCTGGGGGGAGAGCGATGAAGTTGGTGAATTTGCCAGCCTGGGGAAAACACACAGGGGGTGCGTGTACTTCTGAGGCTCGGGAGAGAGGGCCCAGTTAGAATGCAGATGTGGGTGTCCCTCCATCCCGGGGGGACTGTCAGTGCAGGGGAGTGGACAGGATGAAAGAGAAAGGAGAAGGGGTAAGATCAGAACCCAGGCCACCCCCAGTGACTAACCGGTCATCAGGTCAGCACTGCCGAGGCTGGGTACCGGGTTAGGGCCCTTGTCGCTCTCCTTTCATGGGATGCCAGGCCTCTCTTATGGCTTCATTTTCCTGTCTCCCACTGGGCCTGTTCCAAGCCAGCCCACAACCCAGTCAGTGCTCTTGAGTTGGACACCATTGAGTCACACACACACACACACACACACACACACACACACACCCCACCGGTATGCAAGCCTCTGGGAAGAGCTGTTCAGAGACTTTTCTGGAAGTCGTTGAATCTTTCCCCAGAAAAATCTGCCTGCAGCCTGCAGGAGACCTGGTTGATTTGACACACAATTTCAAAGGGCTGTCAATTTGTGATGCCCACTCTTAGGCACAGCTAAAGGAACTCTGCTCAAGGTCAGCTGTCTCCTTGAGAAAGGTCGAGCGTCAAGAAAGACTTGTTAGCTCAGGCTGGCCGGGGAGATATCTCTGCCCCTTTCAGTTTCCCAGAGGTGGGGTCTTCCCGTATGCACTCCTTGATGACTCTTGTCAGTAATTATGAGTGCCACACTCTTGAAATCATTTGCAACCCCTCCTCTTTTTTTCGGAAGACAGTCCAAAGGTGATAAAAGAGGGGGACAGGTGACAGCCTGGGGTCCAAAAACTGAGATGGCCCTGGGGGCCACCCCAGCCACCCGTTGCTTGGCCAGCCACTTCATGACACCCTCCATCCCTGAACAGTTCATAGTACAAATTTATTTATGCATGTATTTATACAGAATACAAACGGTCGGGGACGCCTACGCCCCCTTAGCCAACCAGCGCCCAGACCCAGAAGGTCCTGCCCGAGGAGTCCGAGGTGAGTTCTCAGGAGGCGGTTTCTTGGCCCGACGGAGGAGGCGGGGCCGGAGGCGCGGTCAGAGCTGGGCGTAGCTTCCGGCCACGGGGCGGAGTCGGGGCGTGGCCTGCACCCCGGGGTTGGGAGACCGCTCTCCGCTTGGGGGCACTGGGAGGGGAATGGGGTCCACTGGCGTCCTACACGTAAGCGTTCTTCCCGTACTTGCCAAAGGTGCTGTCGCCTTCGTCCGAGGCCGCGGGGCGCAGGTGGTCAATGAGGCCGGGGGACCGCACCGCGGAGGCCTCGTAGGGGAGCCTGGTTCAGAGAGGTCTGGGTCAGCGGAGGGGAGCCCCCCCCATCCCACCCTCCCCGCCGCCGCCGCCGCCGCCGCCGCCGCGGCACGCCGCCCTTACCTGGGAGCCGGGGCCGCGTCGGGAGAGCGGCAGCAGCCGGAGCCGAGGCAGAGGCCGCCCAGGATGGCGAGCAGGGAGGCGCTCCAGCCCAGGTAGAGGGCGGGGCCCAGCTCGTACCTGGGAACAGGAACGGGGCGGGGCAGCGCTAGCTCGGCCGGCCGAGTCCCACCCACAGCCCCCCAGGGCGGGGCTCCCACACTCACTTGGTCCCTGCATACACGGGGTCGAAAAATTCCTGGGTGATGTTGAAGGCGTACCAGGAGATGGCCACCATGCCGCAGAAACCTGGGGATGGAGAGGAGGGTCACGCTCGAGCCCCAGGCCCGGCAGAGGGGCAGAAGGAGGGGGTGGCGCAAGTCCAAGAGCAAGTTGCACTCCCTCCCTAGCTCCTGACCTTTCTGCCTCCTAGGATCCCAAGCGCAGCCCCTCTTTCATGTCTAGTTTCCCACGTTCTGCCCTTGGCCCGTTCTTTATCGCGACCCGCCCCGCATCTTGATCACCTAGTTGCCTCACTCGGAATCTGCCCCAGCCAAATCCTACCCGTCCTGGGAAATCCAGCTGCCCCAGCAATGGTCGGGCGCAGCCTGCCCTTACGCCCGTTTCTTCGGCCTCCCAAAGCCCCCAGAGCCTGTGACATGCCTTTGGCACTCAGTGCAGTGAAGGCCTGAGGCCAGGGAGACCCCTGGACTACAGGACCAGCCTCACCCCTCTCTGGGGGCTCCTCCAGTTAAGTCACCAGAGTTTTCTGAGCCTGTTTCCACATCTAGAGAAGAGGGCAAGACCCACCCTACCCCACAGACTGAAAAGAGATGGCCTGTCGCCCGGTGTTGTTACTGTGTGCAGTGGGTTTGCATGTGTCCCCCTGACTCTGGTCTTCCTGGCCGGGCTGTAAGCTCTGCGGGGGCGGGGGCGGGGAAGACGCTCACTCACCTTTGGGGTCCCTCTCACACCTCGCTCATGCCTGGCTCCTAGTGGGGGCTCAAGAAACATTGCTGATGGACTGATTTGTAGCTGAGGGATTTTGGTGAGCATGAGGCTGAGTGAGCCGGGGGAGAGGAATTGCTGAGCAAGGAGGGCAGGTGTCAGTGCAATGGGGAAGGTGAGACACACACTGGCAGTGGAGAGCTGGAGAGGACAGGGAACCCTGGGTCCACTGCCACCACTCTCAACCCCCGACCACAACGCGGGGCACACCCACCACCTTCCCCCAATTACCAGCCAATATGTGTAGGGCCCCCGCAGTGGCCGCCAGCTTGGCCTTCCGGGAGAGGTCCATGCTCCCAATGTTTACGCAGCGCAGCCCCACCATGCCTAGGAAGAGGCCCAGGAAGCCCAGGAAGATGGCGGTGATCATGAGCGCCCGGCAGGCCTGGATGTACCCTGGGGAGGTGGGGCGCAGCCATGGGTCCCTCAGCTGGCCCCTTCCCCCTCCACGACCGAGCCAGCCCCTTACAGCCAGCCCCTGCTCGGGTCTCAGCCCATAAAGGCCCTCAAGTCCTCTCCTTCCCCGTCAGGCCCTATTCAACTGAAGGGTCACACGGTCTCCTTCCCAGGAGCTCACCTCAGCCCCAAGGAGTCTCAGCGTCTGCTCCCCGTCCCCCACCTGGCTTCGGTGCGCTTCGAGACAGGCTCGCTCCTGGCACTACTGACACTGGCCAGTTAGTGCTCTGTTCTGGGGGCCGCCCTGTGCATTGTGGGATGTTCAGCGGCATCGCTGGCCTCTACTCATTAGATGTCAGTAGCAATCCGTCCCAAGAGGAACAATCAACATGTCTAGACACTATCAAATGATCCCTGAGGAACAAAATCACCCCCAGCTGAGAACCACTGGTCTGTTAGGTCCCCACCATGCTCTGTTGTGAATTACAGAAATTGCACTTGAGTACTCCAGGCCCTTCCCCGCCGTCGGCTTCTCTCTAGATCCCACCTGGCGCCTGGCACAGCCCTAGTCATCCTGAACTGAGCTTTCTCCTGAAGCGACCGGTAGGGGGCAGCAGTGGCCTATAGGTCACTGGACGAGGGCCTTTTCCGCCGGGGAAAGTGGGATACCTGGGCCAGGACCCATCCAAGCCCATCTAGCTCAGGTATGTTTGGTGCCTCAGTTTCCCCTTTCTCAAAGCTGAAGGAAACGGCCCCCTTCCTTCCTGGTCCCCCCTCCCCCTTTCTCTGTGATAGTTGCCAAGCACTCCAAGGACCTTGCTCCCCTTTCCCTGGGTGGGGCAGTGCCTCTGGTGCTGAAGGAAAGGCTGGGTCTCTGCCATGAGGATGTGGCGTGGCCCAGGGTTGGCGGGTAGGGAGGAGGGACAAAGTTCTCACTCCCAGCCACTCCCTCTGGAGTTCCCACCCTCTCCCCTGCCCCATATCTTCTACGCACGCATTCATCCACGCATCTCTACCTGGGACTTGCCTGGCCCTGGGTTCCCAGGTGGCCGTGGTAGAACAAGGGGAGATTACTCATGGGCCCCGAGAGAGCACGGGCTGGGCGGGATTAAATGATAGGACCCCCCCCCCAGGACCCGCCAGCCTGGGTTCCAGCCCCCCTACCACCTGTGGGATTCTGGGCAGGTTAACGCTCGTCCTTGGGGCTTCCCAGCTTTGGTATGATGAGGCCACTAACAGGCTGCACGGAGACAGCGCTGAGAGGGAACAGCTGAAGAGCCTAGAACCATGTCTGGGGCCCGGATGACCCCCAGCACTGGGCAGTGGCCCCCTGCCCTTCCCTGCCAGCATGCTCTTGCCCCCCTGTCAGCAGTTCCAAGCAGGGCCCTTCTCGGGCGGACAGGCTCACAGCAAAGGCCCCTCCTCAAGCCACGGCATGGTTGGGGTGGGGGAGGTGGGAATGGCCATGGCTGCTGAGTCGGCTGCCTCCAACGTCTCTTCAGGCCACCCAGCATTCTGGGCTTCTGGCCCAGAGGGTACTCAGCTTTTATAGGGAGCTTTGGGGGTTGGGGGGCACTTGCCTTGCACACAGTAAGTCCTGGGGAGAGGGACGAAAGCATGAAGCCCCTACTGCTGTCTCAGAAGATTCTGGGAAGGGTGGGGGCACGGAGACCCACCCAGATCCCCTAATTTCTCAGAGAATCTTTGGCATTCCTGGGGGATTTCGTGGAGCCCTGTTCCAAACCCAGTGTTGGCTTCAGTTCTGTCCACTACCCTGCACCTGCAGTCGGGGACCGGAAAGAGCACGATGGCTCCAAGGAGGGCATGGGAGCAACACTGAATAGGGCACCCGATCCTCCCCTCTTGGTCTCTGGCCTGGGGCCGACTGAAGGGACACTCCCCTGGAAAGTCCCGGGGGGCTACTCATAGGGTGAACAGGAAGCAGGAAGATGCGACAGCCACCAGGGAGAACCTTTCTGGGCCAAAAGAGCTGTAGTTCCAGCCCGCAAAGAACTTCAAAAAATACACTGCCCGAGAACGCCGAGCACACACACACGCGCGCGCGCACGCGCGCACATACATCCCCTACCTGCTTCCAGACCCTCAGAGCTTCGGGGAGACTCCCTTTCAAAGGGTCCTTTAGAACTCGCCATGGCAGTGGGACTGATGCCCCAGCGGGAGCCTGAGGCTGTTACGTGGCTCAACCCCAAGAACCCAAGATGGGGCATCCTCCTCACCCCACAAACCCCAGCCCTCCCACGCCAGAGCTAAGATGCTGAAATTGGTTGTGTGCATACATATGCTAACATACCACGCTAACATTCTGTGTGCTTTATCCCAACACACAGCCATCCCATGAGCCAGGGCTATTATTACCCTGATCCTACAGATGGGATCAATGAAGCTCACGTACCACCTGCCTGAGGCACAGAGCTAGTAAACAGAGCCCAGCAGGCAGACCCTGGTGCCTGCAGTTGTAACCACTAGGAGTGTCACATTAGGGCAGGGGGACCCGTGGGATGAGGTCTCTACCGCAGTTCCAGAAAGGGCGCTGCCCCCGCCCCCCAGCTTGATCCAGGCCTCCCTTGACAGTCTGGCACCCAAGGCCCGACCACGGGCAGCACCCACCCTCCCCGGGGGTCTCTCCCTCCTCCAGCCTCCGGCCACCCTCTGCCCCCTGGAGCTCTCCCCATCCCATACCAGAGAGGGCCAGCAAGGACGGGAACTCCCGGCAGTTGTAGACTCCCATGGAGTCGGTGGCACAGCTAAACCAGAGGTTCTCGAAGATGGTATTGGTGGTGATGACGCTCCCGTGCACGGTGGACACTCGCCAGTAGCTATGTGGCAGGGTCACCCCCAGCATCAGCAGCCCCAGCGCTGCCATGAAGAAGCCGAAGGTCTCCACGGCCACTGACATGGTGGGATGCAGGGCCCCGAGGGGCGCTGGGGGCCCCAGAGAAGGGGAGGGGCTGAGCCCCACAAGAACTTGAGGGGTTTTGGCTAAGTTGGGGCGTTAAGGCAGGCTGGGGAGAGAGAAAGGGGGGCCAGCTGTAGTGTGGACCTCAGGTCTGTCTCCCGGTTTCTGTCGTCAGCCCTCTCTCTGGGTCTCAGCTTCCCGGAAGGTCCGGGCAGAGGAATGAGCCTAGAGCACCGGGCAGCTGTTGACGAAGAGATGGAGGGAATAAAAGAAACGGGCCAAAAGTCCACCCCCTCCCCCAGCCTCTGGGCTCCCCGCCCCAGGAGGGGGGCGGAGAGGACTTATGGGAGTGACGAACAAACGGATACAGCCAAGGAGGGGCCCCCATGGGAGGCAGTGGGAGCCAAGGGGAAGCGTCTCTGACTCAGCCTTCATCGGGGGCCAGAGAATGGAAGACGACAAGGAGAGAGAAGGTAACCGAGAGAGTGCCCACAGACAGACCTCTGGTGTGGCAGGATCCGGGGAGCAGAACCACTCTCCTGGATGTTGGTGAGAACAATTTAAGAGACGCAAAAGACCTAGGATTGGGGCCAAATCTTCCAAGGAAAATTAAGGTTGAATAAGGGAACAGGGTATTTGGGAGAAACCCACTGCTCTGGAGTCCAACCAACCCGGATTCAAACCAGACCCAGTATTTACCAGAGCGACGCAGGCATGAAGTTTGAGCCCCATGAGCTTGTTTCTGTTTCTGTGAACTAGAACTAGCTTCCTCACCTCATGGGTTGTATTAAGACCCGTGACCCCAGATCAAAAGCTCCCCGCGAGTGTGAACTGCTCCCTCCTTGGTGACCACCCTGGGTCTGGACACCGCAGGCTGGGGTGAGGCCACCAGTTGCTTTCCTCCAAACTTCGACTTCCTAAACTTGAATTTCCCCCCTTGTCGCGTTAATCTTTGATTCTCAGCACCAAGCTTGATCTTGCGGCCAAGGGCCACTGAAGGGGATAAATTACACGCCCAGAATGTGATCCTGTGGCTAATCAGTCATCAGAACTGTCACCAGCTCTATTAATTATGGATTAGAAACCTCCGGGTCCCCACCCCAAGCCGACGGCAAGCACCTGTCCCGGTGCGGATGGTACCATTTCCTGCCCCTAGGCCACAGCCAGGCCAGCTCTGGTTCTCAGCCTGCAAATGCAGCAGGGGCTCAGTCTCCAGGGGACAGGGGCTGGATGCTACCCCCAGGCAGTCTCACAGGATATCACTGAGCCAAGTGTATCCC